TATATAAATCATATAAAATAAGGAGTTTAAAGTTTTAAGAACATTTAGAACGGATGTGATCGATGCAGAGTCATGAAGCTCAGTGTGGAGTCGTTTAGAACAAACCTGATTCAGGGACACGTCCACCTGTTCTGCTGCTAAACTTCACGTTTAAACGTCCGCACAAAGAAAAAGACTAAATAGTATTTTTAAACAAAAGATTTCTCAGCTCAGATTTACTCAAGTACACAAACAAACAAACAAACAAACAAACAAACATGAGAGCAGCGATGAACGAAGTAAAGTTTTGTTTTAATAAAGACTCAGAGTCTCACCGGTTCCTTCAGCTCCTCGTCCTCCAGCTGCTCTCTCTCTCTGCAACAGTGAGGGTCTCTCGCCCCCCGTCCTCACAGCATCTGTTGGGGGACAGGAGGAGCTTCACACCCTCCTCCTCTTCCTCAGCAGCGCTCCTGCTCCCTCCTCTTCCTCAGCAGCGCTCCTCCATGACGTTTCTCCTCTGGCTCTCAGCTGGACAGGAGGTCAGAGAGTTACTGCAACAAGGAGGAGAGGGGGAGTCACACGCTGCACCACCGTCACAGTTAGTCCAAAACATTTGATCTGAAAATAAAAAGCCAACTTGGACGGTCGAGTCTCAGAAAAATGAGAAACTTTTAGGACGTTGTGGACACAGCCGGAGGTTCTCAGGGTCTGCTGGAGCTCAGAGTGTGTGTTGGGATGACTCTCAGCTACTACCACTCTGTTAGATCGGTGACCTCACTGATTAAAACCAGGTCTGGTTCTGTTCTGGGCTCAGGATCATCTTCTGTAAACACAGTTCATCCACAGCTGCTGCTTAAAGCTCTATCGGACAAAGAAGAAGCCAGATGTGAACACCATCCAGAACCTCTGCCATCTTCTCTGGACCAGAGCTCGTTTCAAACGGACTGAGGTGAAGTCCAGAACAGTTCTGAGGTCAGATCCAAACCTGAGGTTCTGTTTGGAGACCACAAACGTCACGTTCTCCAGAACTAAAGAGGAGAGGAGCCATCCAGCCCGTTATCAGCCTGCCTCTCTGATGGTATGGGGGTGTATTAGTACCACTGGCCTCTGGAAAGACTCCATGAATGCAGGAAAGGATCTACAGGTTTTAGAACATCTGTTCCATCCAGCTGAGAAGATCCAGATCTGTTGGACACCCAGAGTCCTCCTCCATTCTTCATTAAACTAATTTTTTTTTCTTCTCAGAGAAAAGACGTTGAAGATTTTCCGGCAGCATCTGAAGCGTCGAACATCTGACGAGGATCAGAAAGCCGCTCTCCATCGCTTGCTTGTCTGCAGACGAGTAAAGTCTCGTTTCCTGAGCGAGCGGCGAAAGGTCAAAGGTCAGAGTCAATGCGTAACAGCCCGCTGCAGAGGGACGACGCCCATCCTGTCTCCGGTAGCACAAAGCTCCGCTGACCCCCGAATGCATCGTGACCTCTGACCTCTGAAACAAGACGAGGACAAACCCTCGACAGCTGGAACGCTCCGACTAAAGTTTAATTAGACCGAGAAGAAAAGAAGTTTGTGTCAAATTATTTCTCTCTGACGCTGCAGCTTACAGCTCATCAGGTTAGAGAAGCTGAAATTGGGCTTGTGGCTTCGGCTTGTTGATGATGAAGGTTTAGCTGGAGAACAAAAACCAGAAGAAATGAACATTTCTTGCGACCAGTCACTGAAAAACAGCCGAAAATTATAAAAGAAGCTAAAATGATCTGAACTATAAGCTAAAAACAACCAAAAGAACAGCTAAAAGCTAAAATTAGACCCGACTCTGCAGGATTTTTTTGAAGCTGTAAAAAACTTATTAAAGTTAAAACAATCAAAACAAAATCTAAAACCAACAGACTGGCAGTTACAAGCTAAAACAGCTAAACAGTAGTTGAGAGCTAAAACTAGCAGGAGTTATTTAAATTTAGCAACTAGTTAAAAGCTAAAAACTCAGCGTCAGTTTAAATGCTGACTCAGGGTCAGTTTAAATGCTGACTCAGCGTCAGTTTAAATGCTGACTCAGGGTCAGTTTAAATGCTGACTCAGGGTCAGT